TCTCTCTCTCTCTCTCTCTCTCTCCCTCTCTTTCTCTCCCACACTCTCATTCGCTTTCTCTCTCTCTCTCTCTCTCTCGCTCGCTCGCTCGCGCGCTTTCTCTCTTTTTTTTCGCGTAAAAACAAGCTTATAGTTGCCTCGAACTCTTGTTCGCGTGTAATGCCTGGTATGTATGTATTGTATGCTTCTATACCGTTGTTCGTACCGTTCAGTTTCTCTGGGAACGTCTCTCTCGTTCCACGGGTTCTTCGTCAAAATTATTTCGATTATTTCGATCGATATACATACAGGGTGAGATTAAAACGACGATACTTAGTCTGTATTGAAATTACATAAGAGCCTCACGAGTCCGTTTCTCTGGCGAGATACGATGCTGGCACAGTTTCAGAGATCGGTGTCGTACCAGGCTGCAACCTGGTTATTATCTTGCGGCGGTGCAGGAAGCTCCTCTAAATGATTGAAACTCAGGTCACCCTCGTGCGCTACATCCATAGTGTCCATCGCGCCATATGTCGACCCTCCACCTATTTCCAACCCTTGCATCGAATCTACTGGTATCTGGTCATAACCTGTTTCGTACAAAATTTGCGATAAAGCCAACCTGCTTCCGCTGCGACATCACATATCTCTACTACAACAACATCTTTATCGACAACAACACTACAAAGATTTTCTCAACCAGTAGAGCACAACTTTGCAAAATATCTGTGAAACATTTTCTTTAATCTTTCTTATTACCAACAAGCACAAATCTCAAGGACACGCGCGATTTATTCAGGATTTGTCCTATTATCTGAACGCGTGAAAATTCAGCTTGCACCAAAGAGGTTTAATTGAAAGTGAGAAATAGGGGGGAAGGAAAAATACAAGTTTCAGAGCTGTTTCAGCCACGGCCGCGGTGGTGGTAACTAAGTACTTGAGAACAAACTTTCTTCGCAATATTTGCTTTCGCGAGATAACGCATCTTGACAAACCTATCTTATCTAATTACTTACGAACACTTTTCTATGCTTCTTTCCGCCGTAAAGTATGTTCAATTAGAGGGAAGATAATAAGAATACGTATATACCATGCGTGAAATCTCATAAATAAATTACAAAACGAAAATAAGACACTATATGTATATGAGGAGGAGAAAAAGAGAAGCATTCACAAAACGTGCATTATACGTGTAATATTTACCACAAGTTCAGTAAAACGTGTACTCTGACGAGAATAATGAAATTCAACGTGAAAACTAGAAAAAGCGTGTAAGGAGAGATATTTAGCGATTAATGAAAAAGCACAGAACAGTACATGAGAGCTGAGTGTCACCTATGTTACTGCGAGATACTGTTGATAGCCTGTATTTTAATATAAGTCCGTGGGTTAAGCTGCTGTTAAAATAACATAGAATTAAATGCATTGGTTTCTTCGCACAGTCCGTCGTTTTCGGAGACAACAGGGTTACGAATATACGTATATAGAGTAGTAGTATACACGGTACTAGTAGAGAGAAGTAGAAAGACGAACACATAAATCCGCATTACCACTGTCGATTGATGATTCTCGATGCATATTGTATAACAAGACCGAGGTAAACGCGCGTTCGTTTCGAAAAAGGAATTTCTTCCAGCTACGCATTCGTTGCGAGACGTATCGAAAGTTTCCATGATCGAACACCGTTAATGTCGCGGAAGGAGAACACCGTAGAAAAAAAGAAATACACCTTTTTTTCTTTCTTTCTTTCTTTCTTTCTTTCAAAGCCATCTACGTTCGATCGAGAGTGTTGTCGATCGTTCGGAAGCAATAATCATCGGATAAAGAGGATGAAGCTCGTAACTTACCTTGCGGTTGATACCCTCGGCCTCCGTGGCTGCTGTGTACACTAGGAGGTCCTTGTCCATACATACCATCATAGCCTTGATCAGGGCCAAGCATGTCCTGAAGAGATTAGGTAGCTCAGATCAACACAAAACGTATCTTCCTTTTGCGGGCGTGTCTTTAACAGCCGGCGAGGGTGTGTACATCGTGATCACCGATAAGTCGCGTAGTAGAAAAAATATCGTTTAAAAAAGCCGTTAGAATCTATAGGGTGTATAAAATCGAGTATGTGTGACACGTCCGTGGCGTTCGAATGTAATCACGTTCGTTTTAGTTATTCACAGCCTATGGGGGAAGGGGGAGAGCGCGCGCGTACGTCTATAAGTGTGTGTGTGTGTGTGTGTGTGTGTGTGAAACACGAATGGTGATGAAACGCATTCTCATGCATAACGTAACGTTGCAAACTAAGGATCATGATAAAGTCATCGCTGTACACTTATTACAGGCTCCACTGCTCCATTAGGCACGACCCTGGGGCCATCCTCTTTTGAGCTCACGAAGCGAGCGAACGTATGATACTTTCAGCGAGCGTGGAACAATGTGATAGGTAAAGAAAGCATCGATTTCGATGATAATTACGAAAATAAACGTATAGAGAAGATTGAAACTTTCTCGTGAATCTTTCCATCACGTTTGGCTGGCTCTCTTTTAACTACGCTTCTCTACACACTTTCCGACCGATTTTCACTCTTTTCGATCTCCAGTAGCGTACGTAAGTTGTGCGAACTGGAATAATGGACAACGACATTCATTTCTGCAAACTATCTAGTTATACATTTCTAGACTTACATGGTGGGGAAGATTACGTATACAAGTCCTGTTACTAGTCAGATAAAATTACTGTACCGTTAATTATATCCACGTGGCTTAACTTACTGTTAACACGATGTAACTAGATCGAACAAGAGGGAAGAGGGCTCGCTTATCGATGACGAATCGTTTCACGAATCGACTCGTACGTACACCTCTGATTCCTCTGTGAAATTGATTTGAAAGTTACAAGGTGTTGGTAAATGAATAAATTTAGCCACGGCATAAGCAACGCATGCATCGGCACGATAAATTACAGTACCTGTAAATCTGGACCCATCCCAAAATCAGCGTTATTCCAAAGGTTTGTATCCTCGCGCAACAAAGAATTGGTGAGTTCCATGGAGAGCCGTTTCTTGTATTCCTGTGGTTTATCTTCGCTCATACGGAATAACACGGCTGCCGCGTAAGTCGCGACACCCTCGTTCCTAGAGTGAAGCAGCTCTGTCAGAGGGGCAGTAGCACCTTCTTGTTCGATCATCTCGGCACCTTCCTTATCAGCGGCAAGTTCGCATAGTACGCCAGCTGCGACGCGTTGAATGTTCTCGATCTCGTTGAACAACAACTGTGGAGAGGAGAAAGAACGAATACGGAGCTTCTCCCTTCTTCTCTCATCGCGTTTATTACTACGCACCTGTACGAAAATCGGAATCACATTCTGAGATCTGATGGTCACCCTGTTGTTCGATTCCCTCGCGAGAATATGGAGCGCCCCTACGGTACCTTCCACGATCTCCTCCATTCGAACCCCACCATCCACGTATGCGCCTGACGTTTGCTGACTTCCAGTGCTTGCCACGGACGATCGTTGCTGCTGAATTTAAAATTTAAGAATTTTTTTTTAAACAACAAGATCGTTTTTCTTTCTAATTCGTGATAAGCGTCGTGCTGCTGCTGCTGCTGCTCACCCGTTGTGTCTCGGGAAAAGCGCGGACCAGAAGCCTGACCAGATGATGAATCGCTCCGTGGTCGCGAAGTGGGCCGTGATTCGCAGGACAGAGTGCCAAGTTGCGAATTAATCCTATTACCGCCTTAACGAGTGGCCAACGCGAAGGTGGGTGTAAAAGTTTCACTATGACCTGAATTCCGTAATTGAGGCGGACAGAATTCTGTGCCATCTCCGCCTCTATGTGACGTGACGTCAAATGACGAAGCGCGCATACCGCCGGTTCGCTGATCTCCTCTCGGCTATCCGCGTAAATGATGGTGCGTACGAGAGCATCGACACCCCCCACTTGACATACCGTGACTTTGTTACGTTGATTGTTGCAAGTAAGATTGGACAAGATACCAGCGGCACATGTCACGACGTTCACGTCGGTAGAGCTGAGAACTTGTACCAGGCTCTGCAGCAAACCCTCTAATCCGTCGACTTTAGTGCCAGCGTCCGACAAATTCCGTAACGTCCACAAACAATTCTGGACGAGTCTCTGGCTTGGATTACCGAGATGCATCGCGAGAGCTTGCATACCACCAGCTTCGACGATCACCGGCTTATTACTAAGGCAAACGGACAACACTTTCAAGGCTCTCGACGTTGTCCACAAGAGCTTCTCGTAATCGTACGAACGCATGATGCGTACTAGCTCTATCGGTCCTTGAGAAGCTAGTATGATCAGTTTGCTCTCCTGATTGCCGTACGCGAGAATCTGCAGGCAATCGGTTACTATAGCCAGAAATTTCACGTTGTCTCGTTGAAGGAGAGCGACCATCTTTTGCAGCCCTCCGGCAAGGCGTACAGCTGTTTTAGAACCGTCCTGATGCAACAGCAAATTATGGAGAGTCGTGATCGCGTAAAAGAGGACCGATTCCATCGGAGAACTCAAAAGTTTCACCAGAGCTGGTATACCGCCGCTTTTGAAAATGGCCAACAGACCTTGTCTGTGATGAGATAAATTGTGCAACGTGCCGACCGCCGCCTTCGTCGATTCGAGATCGTCACTGTTTGAAATGGCACGAACTAAAGCGGCTACCATTTGCGAACTGTTCATAATAGCGTGACGAGAGGCTTCTTTTTTCGACAGTTGATGAACAACCATGGCCGCTTTAGACACGACAACCTGGTCCTCGTCGTTTAACAATTTAATTAATTCTGGTATTGCACGTGTCGCAAGATCCGCGTCATCTTGATAATTGATTAAATTAACCACCGCGTGTTTCAACATTTGACTTGGCTCTGCTAATCTTTGTACAGCAGTCGGCTGGTCTGGATCGAACTGCGTAGAGGGAATCTCTATGCCCTCCTCCAACGTCAATGGAAACATGGCAGCACGAACACGCTGTGCTCTGGTGTGATTCAATTGTTGACTCATTTCGTCCACTTGCTCTTGTGTGACACCCTGTGCAAATCCTTGATCCAAATCGAACATCAACTGATCACCTTCCATCTCGTCGTCCTCCTTGCCCGACAGAGAAGGCGCTTGAGTAACAGCGCCAGAATGTATTCCCGAATCACCCATGTACGAGTTCTGCTGCCACATCAAAGTTTGTTCCTTGGCAGAACCCATGGGTAGATCACCCAGGCCCTGATAATTGCCGTGAGACACTGCAAGATAGAACACAGAGCACAGTGTAACACAGATTTGTCGGCACGGTTAGCTTCTACTCACAAACTACTCACTTGGTCTGGTCTGATTCGAAGACATTTGATAATTCATGGCTCCTACCGGAGAGTCTATCCACACCTGGAAGGAAAGAAAAAGGGTGCGATAAAGCAGAGAGTTGTCGAGAAGGATGCGTTTGATATTGCAGATAATGCCGTCATTCGCGTATAAAAGTGGGTAAAAAGTGAACAAGTAGAAGATACTCGAGCATGGAGGAGAGAGAAAAAAAACGTGTTAACACGATGATCGAATCGCGGTGGACGTAACGCGAATGCGTGCGAAAAGGAAGAGAGAAGAAAGACGAAAAGTAGGAAGAAGAGGAAAAAAATGTCTTCGAAGCGACGTTTACTGGTTTGGTTCGTGGTTTCGAAGACGCCACGACGCGCGTAGGGTCAGTGCACTGTATCGCGAAGAATGGAAGGAGGATGCAACTGTACGGAATATGGGCACGATCGAAAGATTCCTCTCTAAGCGTTGTACCAGCTTCCACTTTAATCTTGGAACACGAACGAGAGACGCGCGTCGTTTCGATCGAATACGCGGAGAAATTGCATCTAGAGGTGCACACGAGGCGCGAACGATGCCCGATTTGCGAAGGTAGAGGGACGCGCGTGGGCGTGCGGCACAACAAAGGCTGTGAGAATGCAATGCATCACCATTTTCCGAGGATCCACGACGCGGCGGAGAGTGGAGTGCGGAGAGAGAGAGAGTGGCAAGGGAAGCGAAAACGGAAGGAAGGGGCGACAAGAGAGCTGCTACGATACACTAATGTAAGAGAGAAAGGGGACGAGAAAAGGAGAGAGAGGAGGAACACTTTGACACACCCAGCGTAAACACCGTCGTCACGGAAATGACAATTTTTTCCCCTATCGGTCGATGTAATGGCGAACGATAAAATTATACTGTGCTTACCGTGTCGCGAGGATCGACCGAAGGCGATTTCGTGAATGGTGCTCGAACCAAGACACGAATGACTCACTACCTTACGCTCGATCCACCAAAATTCCCTTTTGCCCCGACGCTCAATCCACCTATCTCTTCTCCGCACGGAGCTCTTCGCCTTTCTTGCCTCGAATCCGTCAACTAAAGATGGCGGAAAACGACGCGGAACCTTCGATCCTACCGCCACCTGTCGTCTGCACTGATTCGAGGTTGCAGTGGTGCTCACTGTCCATGACGCAACCTCGATTAGCTGGATACGTCTCTGTAGAAGAATATTTATCGATTTTTACCCCGCCGCGAATACTCGATCCAATCTAACTCGAACTCACTCTCTTTCCGGCAATTCTATCATTCATTTATTTCCCCCGCTTCTCTCTCCCTTTCTCCGTCTTTCTCTTTTCTTCGCTGGATGCGCACCTTTGACCACCGGAGTATCGCAGCTCTACTCTATGCATTCGGAATTTAAGGTTATACGGTATACATGCATACATACGTTCGAGCCAATGGAAGTAAGGAATATGTAAGTATACGTATGCATTTATTTAGGTATGCGTATTCGATTAAGATTCGACGAAAGTTAGTCACTCTCGAACGTCACAACTGCAACTAATCGATCCTTCATTTTCACACCGTATTTTCCAACATATTTATCTACGTACATACATACATACATACATACATACATACATACATACATACATACATACATACATACATACATACATACATACATACATACATACATACATACATACATACATACATACATACATACGTAAATTAGAAAATTGACCATTGCATCGGGACGATACACGGTTGGTGAAGTGAGAAAAAAGAAACAAAGGGAAAAGAAAGAGAGAAAGGAGCGACGACGAGAAGACATGCCAGATGGTGAAACTAGCGATACACCCCGCGTAACGTCTGGATACCTGACGTAGGAAGACCGAAGGATAATATCGAAGAGATCAATTTCAATTAAAAGACAATTTCCCAGGACATGGCAATTTTTTAATGGATTCGCGTGGGTATTTGTCCATCCACGGTAGTCGAGAATTTCTGATCGAGTTCGGGAGTAAATCGTGCAGCTGGACAGCTAGAATGCGCGCAAAATAACAGACACTGGAGTCCAAAGTAAAATATACTGGCCGTTTGGCGGGAACACCATTCGTTATCGGCTGCGCCCACGCCGATTAATTTTCGGATGCGTGATGGCGGTACCGTTCCTTCCGTTCCGTACAGTGATGATACATTTTATGTCAACGCTGATATTGAACGGATAATCGGAAAAAAGGAAAACGCGTTTTGAAATACATCATCGTGTTCGATATTGAAATATCGAAGCGCAAAGCTTCCTGGAATAAATTTATGCCTGTTCTTTTAATTGATAACGCGAGCAATAACCGCGTTTCGTATAATTTGAATGAATTTTCGCGCGTACGAAATCTCGATCGATTTCCCTATACGAAATTGTATCTTCTCGAGGGTAAATTTGTACGTGTTAGGATATAAAATGATAAAATGGTGCGTTTCAATCGAAAGGAGGGATTATTTTCGTTCCACGAGAGACTTGGACTGAAACGTATAGGGAACAGGCGGACACTTTTACGATGATTCATCGCGCAACAGAATACAGACTTTTTTTTCTCGCGAAACATTTTCTTTATTTACGTAAGAGTCGACTACGACGTATTCTCGTAGGTTTCATTTATTTACGAGCCTAAAGGGGGGGATCGCGTAGCCCACGCTTCGCTATATCGAGGATACTGTCCTGCTTAACCAGATCGGCGAAACGTTTCGCATCTCGTAAGTACATACATACTTAGGTAGAGCGCGTTCGATCTGAACGGACGGACCGATCGATCGATCGACCGAGGCGAAGTTTAAATAGGAGAGTTGGTTCGGAGGATTGTTGAAATTTCGCGCACGGTCCTCGAAAAATGCGTGGTACCGCCGCGTCTCGAAGGCAGGTAGAGAAGGTAGAGGAGCATAGAGGGTGACAGATGCCCGTTGAACGGTGTGTCTCCCCACCTACGCGGCATGCTGCTGACACGAGCGTTTATGTCTGCATAAATTCTCATTTGAGCCCCGATAATAAAGTAAGCACACGAGGGGGACGGACACACGTTGCCCGGTTCGGCGAGCACAGGCTGATACATAGATCACCGTTGAACGCGGGGCAAGAAAAGGGGGAAGAGTCGGGCAGGGTTGCGCAGGCCCCTGCCTTAGGGGGTGGGGACAGAGGGGATGAGGAGCTCAGGGGCGGAGGGAGGAACGATGGCTAGGCATATATTTATGTGTATCTATATAAGGTACACACGTTGCCACTCGAACGAGTCACTGCACCACTACACGGGGAGGCCTGGACGCACGCACGTACACAAGATTCTCGAGATGCAACGTGCTTAATTATATGCATTCTGAGAATCCGCGCTGGTCTCCTCTCCGCTTAATGCCCGTGTATTCTGCGATGCTTCGTGTTTACGCGGCGAAAGGGAGGATAGTCACCGTTCCATCGTTCCACGGGGAGAGCTAATAGGAGCATAAGCCTTATATTCCTTCTTCGCCGGCATTCTTTTCCACCGATCGACTCGAGATTTAGCGAGATATCGCGCGCGGCTGAACCTTGTCGTTCTGTCGCGGATGATCAAGCACGCGCAACTTTTGCCAATTTTCCCCAAAGTCCAGGGATTCTCCTCCCGAGGGAAGGGAACCAGTCAACCATAGAACTTTCGTAGACAGTTACAGTCGTATCGTCTGGCGTGCTTGATGGAGTAGTCTCGCGGCTAATGTCTCGAGGACGAGGACGAGGACGAGGACGTGGACGATACCCGCGATTCATCACTCGTACCAGCGAAAGGGACTCACGCAACGACAACTCCCAAGACAACGAGCAAACAAACGAAGAGCGCGTCGAAAATCGTGGATCGAAGGAAAGTCGATGATATGACTTAGCCAAGTTGAGAGAGAGAGAGAGAGAGATGGTGTCCGGGGCGTGCCTCGTGTACCGCGGCGTCGTCGAATCGGAACCCTTGGCGAAGGTCATCGAGATCAGCGCACTCGGCACGTCGATCAGACGATTTTGTGCGGCACACCTGCGCTCAGGCTTATCCGGTCTGCGGTGAGCGGCTCCTCGCGCGCACAGCGTGTGGGTGCGGGCTGACAGCTCCTATCGGAATGGCTCGGATAGGTTATTGGAGGTCCTCAAATGGTATCGAACAAGGTTCTGCTGGGGCGCGCGGGAGGGGTGATAAGAGGGAGCGGTTTCTCTAAGTATCGCGAAAGGCACGCATACAAGGATGAAACGGGTCCATCGCGCGGGTACGCGTCGAGATGCAAGTGTGCGGTTACCAGCCCGATTCGAGAACGCCTCGGACGCCTCGAACCTCTCGACCCGTGTGTGCGCGCGCGCGCCTGTACGTACGGAGGAAGGTAGGCGAGTATAGGTGTACGTCGATTTCCGTCCGAACGTACGCGCGACAGTCCGATGTAAGCGGACGCGTGTATGTGTGCGTAAGTCGAATGCACGCGCGTGTACGAGTCCGAGATTGGCCGGTCTACTCGATGCCGAGGGAAAAGATACTGCGGGACGTGGCCATCACTGATGAGCCAACCCACACCGTGCGACAGCGACAAACAGGACAGCACCGGGACAGGACAGGACCGTCTCGCTCGGTATCAGGACTGTAAATCCGGGATTTTATTCGCCCGGTATCGAGGTTTATAGTGTCCTCAGTGGTGGGAGCCTGTGTGCGTGGTTCGCTGGCGTACGTGTGCCTGAGTTATGTTCAACCGTCTCGCGGCAAGACGTTTGCATATCTCCGCTCCTTCGCTCTCCTATACACGAGGCAACGTCTCTCCCGTGGACGAGGAGAGCCGAACGAACGAACCGGCAACCGGCGGGAGGGGGAGGAGAAGAGCAGGAAAGGACGATCCTCGCCGCCGCGCCGTCCTCCCCTCGCTGGAGAACTCCGTTTACCTACTCGGTCCGTCATCCTCCGCCTCTGTTCGCGAAACGAGACCTTCCTGAAAAACGCGCGGTTTATCTTGGCCCCCGGTATCACCCCACCCCCGGTATCCCCCGGTATCCCCCGGTATCCCCCGGTATACACCGGGTATTAACCGGCTGTCCGGCGAATCGAATTTATCGGACGGCCTGGCTTTATCGAACGCCCCCACTTAACGTCCCGCTTAATTAGACACCGGCCGACCGGTGTGCTTAATGACGGAGGAGTCCCGATGACGCCAGGACGAGCGCTCCTACTGCCATTCGATCCTCTTTGACGCCCTATCGCCACGTCCGCGTCCCTTCGCAGTTCTCTCTCCCCATCTACCGCAAAACCTACGCCAAACTCTTTTTCTTTTACGCCCTCCTTCCTCCGACGGTGCGGAGAGTGGAGATCGTTTCCATCCGTCTGGAGACGGAAAGGTGACGGAAAGGAAATTCGGACTTTCGTTAGCCGACCAGGCGAGAACAGGACAAGGACGATTACGGTGGACGGTAGACGTAATCGTACGTGTTCGCGCTACCGGGCAACTTTAATAAGGCAAGCCGATAAAGTCGAACACGCCTGGTCGTCGGCGAAATCGTCGGGACGCATTACGCGGCAATCAGGGAACGATAATTTTCGCGTTACGTGACAGCGATTGGCCAGCCGTACCGGCCACGGCACCACCGATACTTTACTCTCTCTCTCCTTTTCATCGTTGCCTCCTTAAAACCAGCAACCAGCGGTATTAAAATTACGAATGTACATGCATCGGAGAATTCGTGATGCCCGCGGACCGCGAGAGTACACACGGCACGAGTCCGTCCGGTGGGGAGAGAGTGAGTTTCTTATTGTTTCTCTTCCACGGTCCTCGAGGATAGGTGGGAGAGAGAGGGATGGTCGTAGGTTATCCCAACTTTGCCAGGGCTAACGATAAATTATCCGGATAGTATTAGAAATTGATTACGCACCATTGATTATTCGGGCACGAATGCTGCTACGGTAAATACCGGTTACTCGGCGATAATTTATCCGAGATTAGTATTAGTTTCGTTGTTCTGGTTTACTCGAATCTCGCGCGCAAGGGAACCGAGGATCTCCGAGGATCTCCGTCCTCCAAGGCGTTATTCCTCTCTATTCGGTGGAGCACGGTAAAAAAAGGCGCACCCTCGTAGTACGCGCGCGATGCTCGAGC